CTAACAAGTATTCACCTTGACCTACCTATCCTTGATCTTGAGAAAAACATTATACAAACACACCATCACAGTTTAATGTCTTGTAATTGGTAATCGTATGACGCTTCTTAATATCGAATTTCGTAATAATTATAGCTTACATTATTTTATCACACGAAATAAACATTACTAGAATCAACAAAACGAAGTCAGATTCAAACTAAATCATCGAACCGTTACCTGCAATTTCAACCTACACGGATGGCGTAGTGGTTTAAGCGGTTATCTCACCGCTTCCTACTGTGCTGAGTGTGGGTTCGATCCTCACCTAGGGACTGCACTTTGTGTGATCCACAAACTGTTGTTCTGAGTCTGGATTTTCTTTACGTTTATAGTGCAACACTATTTTCTAATCCTTAAAAACTGTAAGAACCGGAAAGTACTTTAGCACCAGCTAATTTTTGAAAAAAAAAACCGACTACGTGAAAATGTAAGTAGGTATCGTTAAAATTTACAAATCGGAGATTTTTAATTTCATAATTTTCATTAACCCAATGTCACTCTCGTTTAGGCTACAGAGCCTGCCAAAGAACACATATATTATGTATATGTACATACATTTACTTGAAAAATGTAACCACCTTTCTGTTGCAGTCAAGTAAAAAGAAATAAAAGATAGTTTGTGGTAAGCACCGACAAGTGACCGACCGAAGTTACGGATTCAGCCAGTTTCGGCAAAAAATCTAGTGTCGGTTCGATTTGTAAGTGTTATGCGTCGTTCGGTTAACTTTCGTTCGGCTCTCCAGTGGACATCGGCTCTAGCTCAGTTCGCCGCCGTCCAGTCCGGTCTTTTTTTTATGGTGGTGGTGGCAAGCGAGCAGACAGGTCCAATTGCCGCCCTTTCAGACCCTCCCTCTCCAGTCCCAGAATCAGGGAAAAAGGGGGACTTTGGGATCCGGTAACCTCTCTCACTCGGTAAAAAGCAACGAAAGAACTGCTTAACACAGGTTTTCTTTGAGGTGAATAATCACTACTGTCGAACTCAACTATAAGTGCCGAGGCATGGCTCTCCCACAGTTAACTTATCTTGTAACTGACATTGTTTTGTCTCAAAGGCGATTATTAGGTATAGAGCTTCATTTGGTTTAGTTTTATTTATGAATTAGTAACACATAATGCATTTCTGGAGTTTTGAGAATCATTTTGTAATACGACCCTAAGATTTATTTGTTTGTAGATGGTTAATTATTGTTGAATTACATTTTATTATTTTACCATTTTTAACCATCCAAATAACTTATACAACGACGCGTATAGTCCGTTCAAATAGCCTAGTCAGCCACCTCGCCCCGCTCTTTCCCGTCCGTCACGTGAGGTACCTAATTAATTTAGACAGATGTATTTGTAGTATTTAGAAGCTAGCAACGTTTTTTTTTATCTACCTACCTAAATACATTTTCTCTTACTTAGAATTGATGCCGTCCGTTATGACAGTGATTTTAGGTGTTATGTAGGTATAAGCAGATAAAGGGCTAAAATATACACTTGATTTCAGTATACAGTCGAAATTTTAAAATGATAGTTTGAGTTTCGGTTTCGGCCGAAACTAAAGCAAGGCCCGAAAGTTCTACTAGTGGTAAGTCATTATTTTGTCTTCTTGACAGAGACAAAATAATTATGTAATAACAAAACCTGTTGTATATGTGATACGTATTTGTATATGTGTGTATCTATGTACAGATACAAATACAATGCGTGTGCACAATCGTGTGCAAATATTGTAAATGACCTAACAACTTTCAATTACAAGGCTAATAATTTAGTAGTGGGTTAAGCGAATTAATACACTACACTTTCCATTTTTCTAACGTCGTTTAACATCAGATCATTGAAGTAACATTGCACGGAAGGAATGGAAACAAGGAATAAGATTTAAAGTTATTCATTACTAATGCAATGGTATACAATGAAAATCGCTGACTGTTTTGTTCAGAAACACGTTTTTTTCCCAATCTTAAGTATCTATGGCATTTCTCAAAAAGTCTAACCATATCATTACAAGTGTACATAGGACGCAATGTGTAAATTAGTATTTATTTAAATAATAAATGTGTTTTTTTTTTATTTTTTCCCACATTTGACACAAGTACTTCGTAAATTCAATATACACAACTATTCAAAGTAGGTACAACCGAAAAGCTTTTTACACCGATTTAGAAATACTAACTAAATACCGATATTTCTAAATTTAGTCCAAACACTAGCTCTCTTCTCTATATACAAAAAAAATGACGTATGTATTAAAGTTTAATTTAATGAACTCAGAGTCAGTTTTTTCTCAAGCATCTATCAAAAAGAAAATAAATTAATCAAGAAAACACGAAATTTAGACTCGAATATATTTCAAAATAACGATTTATAGCCTACTGGCAGCGTTCCCAGAAGACTGGCAGCATTGCCACTTTGAATGGCAATGCTAATTCTCTGTGCTAAAAAAAAGGCCGGCCTTCTGATCACGAGAAGTGTCGATCAGTTGCTGAGCTAGTTGTTTATTCATAGCACGAACCCAATAACGACTTTATTTTATCCTGATATCATAATTTGTCTGTAGACTAGGAAGACCTGTTTCACTATTGATCCTTCTCTATTTACAGAAAAACATATTACTCAACTTTTTCGCAATATTTTTAATTTGTTATTATTTTCCATTTAGAAAATGTTATTTACATCTCATTTTATGATTGTTATCCCGCTCATTTAAGCTCTAAGGAGGTCAAACATTTTTTGCAACTTTGCACATGCACTTGAAAAAAAAGTCTGTTATATGATACGTTGAATACATAAGTTTTCTTCTTAACAATCCTTCTTTATCAGCGTATGACTCATCAAAAAACCATTGACTTCGGGACTTGGCTTTCCTAGATGACACAAAATCTTTTAGGTGGAAAAATTATACCTAATTTTTTTTTTTTTTAAACAGGTTAAAGACAAAACGGTTTTCTTTAGAAGTTTTGTATAAGAAAGTGCCACACAAAAATACACCTTGCGTTAAACAGGTAGGTACATAGTTCGCTAAGTAGGTAATAGTGTTGTGCTGTGACATTCATGGCACGCGCGGCTAAACTATGGGGCAGCAACATAGATAAATGTTGCATCATTGTTTATATACAACCAAAAAAACACGATCATAGAAAATTTATTGCGAAGATGATGTTTTGTGATCATGATCACACTCGCAATCGCGAAAACGTTTTTCATCAGACGATAAGAATTTAATTAATTAATTCAATATAAAAACCGGTAAACTTTCGTTACTATTCATAATATATTATGGCGTATCATAAAAATGATATTTTTTTTAACTAACTATGCTCTTATTAATTGTAAATTTATTAAAAATAATTATGGAGGGTGTTGTTAATCAATTCGATATATTCATATCTTAAAGGAAGTTGAATAACGTATTCTAGTAAAATGAGGTCATATATTTATTTTGTGTATATAAAATCTGCAATAATAATTTAAAAAAATATTGATAAGGAATGACGCTGATTCGGCTATTTATTTGTTGTAAGGCTCGTTCGATGCTATGTGACGAAGGTTCGTTAACCTATACGTCATCGGTAACATAGTTCTATTGAATAAGATTCAATAAACTTATCAAAATAAACAAATTAATCTCAAAAACATTAAGTAGTATTATAGATCAGATATTATCTTCTATAGAGAGTTTATCTGTGAACCAACACCTCCTATATCTAACCGGAATTGATCGCAGAATCCAGTGTAAATATTTACATAAATGCGTAAATTTATCTTCATAACGTTGGTGGCATCTAAATATTAGTAGATAACGTAAACTAAAATATCGGTCTAATCCGTAGATTTAAACTATTTACAATAATAACTTAATAAATTAAAATAGAGCTCTCTAGACTATACTATTAAAATGTAGGAGTGAAATCAATAGAATGACTTTCCTCCTGCAGAGTGAAAGTAACCGAGTTTTTGCAAACTTCAAGTCGCTTTTTTTACTTTGCAGGGCAATATGTAGCAAGATAATATTATGCTAAGCGTAGTATAGTCTAAACAGCCTTGTTTCCCAGATGCTTTGGGTAAATTATATCTCAAACACAATCACATAAATTAAATTAGTTTTAGTGTACTTACGCCATTTTCAAAATGACGTACACTAAAATTTATTGATTTTTAAGAGTAAGCAGGGCTTTATATTACTTTTACTTAATCAAACGGTTGCGGGTTCAAAACCTCTCAGTAAGTAGTCAACAGACGTGAACCTACCCAGGTACTCATAAAAAGGATAATTATGTAGATTAATTGCAGTTGTTAACAATAGTCCGGGAGAGGTTTAGAACTCTCCCGGCCCGCCAGGCCCGGGCACGGGCCAGGCAGCGCAGGCGACTCAGGCGCCGGAGGTCGCAGAACGACCTCCGTCCTCCATAAGCGCAGGCCTGGGGGTGACAGGTGAGGCCATCTGTCACCCTAGCAGAAGCAGGCCGGGGTGGCGGCGAGCGCGTTGCGAAGCGCGCTCGCTTCCAGGGAGCACAGGGAACATGGGGTTCCCACACGGGGCGGGGGTCGTCTACTCGTCTGTAGATGACCCGAGGTATGTCGGGGCACCAGGGCCTTCTTTTCTAGGGTATACCTGGTTCCCCGGCTATTAGTACCCGGCGAAGGCGTGCGGTTTTAGTCGGTTCGGGTCCGACATGCCACCGACAGGTGGTATCCGAGGGGATTTCCGCACGGAAAAAAAAAAAAAAAAAAAAAAAAAGTTGTTAACAATAGTTCTAGTCTATAGTTAAATGCTACTAATTTGCCTGTTAACATTCTTAATTTTACTAACATGTAAAACCTAGTTAGTTGTTTACAATAAATAATTAAATATTAATAAAAAATATTTATAAATTAAACAGTAATAAAAGTTTAGAGATTAATAAATCTCTAAACTTTTATTACTGTTTAATTATTTTATTTTTGAAATATTTGTAATTATTGAGAGAATGTTATGTACAACACGATCAAAATTGGACATCCATAGTTCTCAGTTTTTTCTGCATGTGCCTCGTGCTGCACGCGCGTCGCAAGATAAGCGCCGCATTACATCAGATCGCGTCGGCCAAGTTGGCGCGTGCGCACGCTAACAAACTCACTATATAAGCAGCCGCGTCTGTAAACAGCACTCATTCACAAATCGCAAGTAATAGATGACAGGTCAATATTAGTTTGTGGCAATGTTCTACGCTCTCATGCATTATACTATAATCGGAAATAATAAACTCAATTACGAACAACAGTGGCACAGTGACAATTGGTGTAATAGTCATTCTCCAAGGTTCGAACATCAACAAAGATAGCCCCAGCTCAATAGATCGAGTGCATTGATTTTAAGGTAAATATTATTTGTTTTCATATGACGATTTGCGTAAGCATTTGATTAAAATTAGATTTTAATAAGTAAACAGAATACACAAGTATGCCACTTTAATATATTATGTTATTTAATTATTAGTTTATTATAAACTGAACTTTTATATGATTTTAGTTAAGAAGACACCCATTTATTAAAGTACATACCAGTAAGGTCAACGGCTGTGACGTTTCTTTTATCAATAAACTTTTAGTTTACGTCAATTTCTTGTGATAAGTTTATTCGCCAATTTTTTTTGTTGATAAACTCTTGTAGTTATCGCTTGTTACAAAATTTAGGGGCTACCGACCAATAAGATAAAAACCCGCGTTACAATATTTAGTACATAACTGAAAAACCATAATGAATTGCCGAGCCTTATATAGGAAAATGCGCCAACTCTTAGGTGGTGGCAGGTCTAGACGTAACCCGATCCAAGTTAGTAGTATCGAATTCAACTGTCCACGCTCTGATGCTTTGGCTCAGGGCTGTCACGCACTATTATCAGATTGTAATATTTTTCCCTACAAACTAACACTCAACTCAGCTCGACGATAAAATAACGTAACACACAACCCTAATATTGAGCAAAAACGCGGACACTAATATGGTTTCATAATTCGTTTACAGAGTGACAAGCAAGCGGTCAATCGTGCCTACAGCAGCAGAGAGGGCTAACGTGCCGTCCGCTGGGAGAACTGAAGTTTGAAAGTAGAAAGGAGACAAGTTCGACAATCGAAATGGCAACTGTACAGACCCACCCCGAGATGAGCTTATCAGCGACTCTGCCCGCTCAGCAAGAACAATCCGAATTAGACTTTATGGCGCTAACCATGGCAGCGCTTCGTTTTGTAAACCCTTGGACGGTGGACTCCAAGGCAAAACAATGGCAAGCACAAATTGTGCCTGGCTCCCCTGAAGCAAAAGATCGTATTATCACTTTGAGTGAAGTAAGCCGACACGACTCGCCGCAAGATTGTTGGGTAGTCGTATATGATCGAGTCTATGATATTACTACGTTCTTTGATGAGGTGAGTTGAAAATAGTTATTTTTGTAACATCTTCATATATTACTATACAGGCTGTTTTTCCAAACCAGTAACAATTTAATGCCAACGCTCGGCTCATTGAATGTAATTCGACGGTAATTCAAATTGGTCTTCTCTATAGCAGATAGGTGGGTTTTTCTTTAAGACAGCAAAAACATTATTTTATTTGTATCTTTAGTGTACTACGCAGCCTCATTTTAAAATAATAGTTTAGAAAAGTAACTTTTTTTTTTGTTACAGCACCCCGGTGGAGCCGATATCATGTTTGAGTACGCAGGTGCAGACGCCAGCACTGCTTTCCGAAGTTCAGGGCACTCGCGTATGGCGATCAAAGCTTTAGACCGATTCCTCGTTGGGGAGCTCCCTATGCAGGAGCGTATGTACCGACGGCCAGGCGGTATCAAATTAAGTGATATACCTGAATAATACAACTCCAAACACGTCCAAAACTGCTTTATAATAATGGAGGTATTTCTTAATGGGTGCACGTGCAAGTTTAAATCTGGATTTGCATAAAAAATCAAAATTTGTATAAAGTCGTATAAAGATGTTAAAAGTAGTTAATTATTTAATAGAATATTTTACTAATTCCAGTCGCATTTTAACCTAGCTTAAGTTTTCTAACAGCTTTATTTTAACCGTAAGCGTATTAGTTTGTTGTAAAACTATTAAGATTTTTTAAATAAAATTTATAAGGCAACTCTATAAATGAAATCACTATGACTTGCTTATCCGAGTATTTGTAGTGATGTTTCTGTTAACCTCGCTGAGTAATTAATGTCAGGAGCTTCGATAAGCGCGGTCTTATTAACATAGGTACCTACCTAATTTAAACGTATTTTTTTCGCAAGTGAAATATTTGTTACTATGGTACCTGGTGTAGGTGTTAGTATTGTATGTTATTGCATTTATTTAATTAGTAGTACGGCTTGTGAAACAAGTAAAGGACATGTGTTCAGCAAAATTGTTAATATTCCTTCTACCATGTGGCTTGTTTAGCTGGACCGTTCTTTGTTTGTACCGCTTCTTCAAATTGAACAGTATTAATTTTGTGTCAATGCTTTGTTCACATCTAAGTTCCTATTATGTTTTAATGTACAAATTAAATTTATAATTATTTAAATAAAAAGAAACAATTCAATATCGTTTTTAATTACGCTCACATCACACTTCACATCAACAGCCTTTAATAGTCCACTGCTGGACATAGGCCTCTCCTTAGAAAGATAATTACGCTCAAATACCACATAAACAAGTAAGTAAATATCCATTACCTACGTATGTAGGTATCGTTATCGAGTTGGAGTGACCAACGTCCGTCAAAACAGTATAATATAATAAAATAATGTCTCCTTTATAATGTTCATCATTTATTAATCGAATTCCCCTACACCGTCAGGGTGTGAGTTACCTGTACCTCTACCTATGCTGATGACTTGCAGCTTATTACACATGCCAGAGTTAAAGACATGTTGCACGACATTGATAAGGTGTACAAAGATTTACAATTTATAAAATCTTGTCGACCGGGAATTTCGGTTTGCTAGTAAATCGTACCACATTTATAGGCAATCGTCGAAATAAATGTTTAGAGAATTAGAAACCGATACTACCAGACCAATTGTCTTTAACAGTTCCATTATACTTTTTTTTTCTGTGCGGAACCGGACACCACTTACCGGTGGCAATGTCGGACTCGAACCGACTCTATTATACCTATAATTAAGTGGTACAATTGACTCCAACATTTGATTGGCGGAACTAGGTTTCTCATACGAGTTATCGAGTCAAAGAACTCTCGGAGCTGGACCTATACTGCCTTGAGAATTTATTTCTTCCATATTGCAGTTCGTATATACATACATGATATTTTGACCAGAATGTAGACCTTTCAACAAGATGTTCGGCCTTCTTAAAGACTGAATTTGAATCATTTTCTATCTAGTCTACCCATGTGTGCTTTTTGTGTGCCAATTAGTACAATAGTTCTATTCATCAGTAACTTCTCTGTTCTCCTTATAAACTTCTCCAAAAAAATGTTTTGCCGTCTTATTTCAACATTTCTAGTCGGCTCATGAAAAAGTTTTCATTCTCCAAATAACTTGGTTTCCCATGTCCTTCACACAGTTCTGACTTCGTTAACTCGTATTTCTGTGTACAATTAGTTCTTCTCTAGACTGCACTCCTTCTTGAAATTAGAATTTCCACAAACCGTAAAACGTTTAAGGAAGAAACTACGTAAATTCCTCCACGATACGTATACGTATACAAGGATGGCTGGGTTCTAAGTATCCTAATCAGTGGTTTGGAAGAGGTGCTTAAGTGGGGACACGCCTTTACAGTATCCGTAAGAAATTAAAGGTCATTATTTTCAACAGTTTCCAAAGCTCAAATCAAAGTTAGCAATAGATAATTGCAATTAGAAAAGAGTGTACAAAAATACAGAAAGCCAAAATTGACTAGGTACTACCGGGTTGTACGCTAATATTCTTAATACTTCCGGTCTCTCACCTAAGTATTTTTCTATTAATTTTCAAACTAACCTAGACTATTATACCTTGTTAGATAGCTTACAAATATATATGTTATTTACATATCTGCAACTTAACTGTAATATATATTTTTTAGTATTCGTCAAAGAAAAAAAAACTTTTACAAACATTTCTTTCTGCTATTACGAGTATTAACCTTCTACCTCGATCGTTTGTTAAGTTAACTACAATTTTGTTAATGTAAATTAAAAAATAATTGATCAACGATACAAAAACAATAAAAAATAAGAAAATATATAACATCTTAAAAGTATAAAATAATTTGGTTGACGGATTAAGAATACAGAGTGTCACCACCCCTATTCATCCCGTGGGTGTCGTAAGAGCCGACTAAGGGAAAAAACTACGCAGAACAACAACACTGCAGAGAGAAGGAAAACTTGACACCAATCGTATACTAACCCGTCTGGCCAGCGTGGTATAGTAGGCCAAAACCTCCTTTCCAAGGAGAGGCTTATGTCCAGCAGTGGATGAAAGGCTGTTGATAATGATTAGGTTTAGGATATGGTATTTTACAGTGAAATATAGTGAATTTATAGTAATAATGGCTACTACGACCACCTAAAATATGTAAGTCGACTAAACTAGTAACCCTGTATTGGTATCCCATTAAAAAACTAAAAAGTTTTGCGTCTCGCAACGCTGTTCAACTTATGAAAAACATATGAACTATAAAAAACTATATAATCTCTGAAAGTGAAATGCTAATGCAGTTTGTATATCCTAAATATAAATTTAGGTCTTCTTGTACAGACACCAGTCTCTCACATAGATATAATGTAATTATACTAATTACTACTGCTAGTTTAAGCTATTACCTATGTGAGAGAATAAAAATAAAGTTATTATTATTGTTGTAAAAAATACATACAGTGGAACATAGAACTTCCTCATTTTTGAAGTTGGTTAAAAACGGAACTGAAATTGGGTATATTTAAGTTTTTCCTAGCTTCATAAGCTAAACAATAATAAGCTTGCCTGTCTACCAGGAGTACTTACATTAGAAATTAGATGATCGGTAAGCGAAATAGTGAACATTTTAGGAATTTTAAATTGCATTCAATTCAACTTGAACGTAATTTATCAAAGTACATACATAAGTACGTTACGCCTTCTTAGTCACTGAACAGTCAGCGCTTAAGCTTTATCTATACCAAAGCTACATTGGGTCGAAAATGTCCATGGATAAAATATATTCAAGTTAGTGTAAAGTATTCAGATGATAGATTCTTTCAAATGTTCGTTACATCTTTATACATACCAAGATCGACCCAACTTTGACTTGTAGAGAATGCATTAAGTTCGCCCTTGTATCATCATTCATCATCAGCCTATCGCAATCCACTGCTGGACATGGGCCTCTTCCATAGCACGCCACTTAGATCGATTTTTGGCTTTTTGCATCCAACTCCTGCCAGCCATCTTGCGCAAATCGTCACTCCACCTGGCCTGTGGGCGTCCTACACTACGTTTGCCGAGATGCGGTCTCCACTCAAGAACTTGTTTCCCCCAACGGTTGTCGGTTCTGCGGCTAATATGGCCAGCCCACTGCCACTTCAGCTTGCTAATCCGGTGGGATATGTCGATGGATACCTTGGTTCTCTGCCGGATCACCTCATGCCTTTCACTCCGTCATTCCTGATGCGATCCCTAAGAAAAGCGGCGAGCATAGCCCTTTCCATTCCACGTAGAGTGACTTTGAGCTTGTGAACTAGCCGTACCGTAAGTTGCCACGTTTCGGCTCCGTATGTCATGACGGGAGGGACGCACTCATTGAACACTTTTGTCTTTAGGCACTGTGGGATCCATGATGAGAAGCTCGACCTAGCTTTCTAAATGCTGCCCAACCCAAACTGCTGAATTCTTCTATTCGCCTCGTCCTCAAAGCCGTTTCTACCTAACTACAATGTCTGCCCGAGGTACACATATTTTTGAACAACTTCGACTACGGCACCGTGTATCGCAATCGGTTCTGGTAGTACATGTTCATTAAACATAACCTCGGTTTTATCCAAGTTCATCCGTAGCCCGATACGTATAAAAGAGTTAGCTAGGTCATTCAGAATTCGTTGCAGGTCCCCTGTCAGCGTCTCTGCCATGACAACGATGTCGTCTGCAAATCGCTAGTGAGAGATGCATTCACCATTGATATTGATGTCACGCCCTTTCCAGCATCTTGAACATGTTGTCTCACGCCTCGATGCAACGTTATGAGCCTTGTTTGCTGATTCTGTACTTAGATGGATATGGTAGCTTCGTAGAGACATTTCATCACTTGGATGTATCGCAAATCTACTTGGCAACGCTGCAGGGACTAAAAAGTAGACCAGATCTCGATCGAGTCAAAGGCCTTCTCATATTCCGTTAATGCGGCTCTTTAAGGCTGTTTCTTGAAGAACGAATTCATCAAGAAGAGCATAAAATCACCCATAACAACGCTGTAGTGGGTCTTAGTGTTAAAGTGGAGGGCCCTCGATATGTCATCGAACATATCCTCCACCTCGTCGTCCGCCTCGTATAAATGTGCATAAAATTTTTAAACAATAAGGTTCAGCTCGAGTTGGCATTTATTAACGTTGAAACTAAAGTATCGATAAAGAGACACAGACATGCTTATGTGCATGAATTCACTGAGATTTTGAACAAAAGAATGTTAATTAGGTAAATACCTATATCTATACAAATAAATAAAATTGTAGTGTCTGTTTGTAATATCAAAATAATAGGTTTTTTCATGCTCACACGGTTATTTCCACGATACCTATGCCTAAAAACCAGTTTAAATATTTTTGTCTGTCTGTCTGTTTGTTCCGGGTAATCTTCAAAACGACCGGTGACCGATTTTGATATTTTACTACCAAGTAACTGTCTATA